CAAAAAACAACATTCCAGTGATGGAACATCCACCGTATTCTCCGGACCTAGCACCGTGCGACTTTTTTCTCTTCCCAAAAATCAAGTCTGCGCTGAAAGGGACCAGGTTCGAGTCCGTGGATGCAGTGAAAGCAAAAGCGACGCAACTCTTGAAGAGCATAACACAAGATGACCTGCAGCACTGCTTCCAACAGTGGAAAATTCGCATGGAGCGGTGTAGGGATCGGGGAGGGGACTACATTGAAGGGGATAACATTTCGACTGTCTGATTTTTTTTTAATAAAGGGTTAGAGCATGAATCCGGTTTCTTTATTGCCACACCTTGTATTACATAACAAATTACAACAAACACCAATAATTATTATAAAAACATCTATGAAAATTAAAAAATGATGTACTGTATGTTATAAGATATGCACTGTTTTACTAAAGTGTATACTCATGTAAAAATTAGAGGTAGATCTGACATAATTTATAATCCTTTTATACTTTTACTCATGTATATATTATATTTTGTATTATATTACAGTGTTTTACACCTGATGATGACTGCGTAGCAGTTGAAACATGTACTGTGGAATGAACCATACAATTTTGATATAGTTTGTATGACTGCTAACCTGAAAACTTTGAATAGACAAGAATGAAAGTTCTGTGTGTCGTGTGAGCTGTAGCAAACAAAGTCTGAAGTAGAGATTCCTAAAATAACATTTTTTTATTTGTTTAATATAGATTTATCTGTTTCAGGGCTCAGGAGTAATCAAAGCAGGTTTTGCAGGAGACCAAATCCCAAAATGCCGTTTCCCAAATTAGTAAGTAAGAGACAACCACGTAAAAATATAACAGTTGTATATATTATTCTCAAATGTACAGAATGGCTGGGAAGCCGTCTCGATATATGTATACGTATATGTTGTTCACAGGTTTGCGGGCCCTGAAAAGGGCCGTTTGTTCTTCTGTGCATGCGCTAGTAGTAGTGTGGGCCTTCCTTTTACAGTCGCTGAGCGGTTACGAGCGGGCAGGATAGCGGAAAGTCTAGTCGGATAGTCCGGGCCTTCTTTATGGCCACTCGGCGGTTACGAGTCGTTGTGAGAGTGGAGTCTAGCTGACCTGGCGCTGTAGTGCATGCGCTGGTGTAGTCCACTCTCTCAGTGTTGTTTGTTAGAGAGCTGCTCCTTCGTGACGTCAGCGTAGCTACGTTAGCTGTCTTTGGCGGAGTGAAGACGATTGAAGAACTGATGATAGCAAGTTTTGAGCGCCACCTTTTATACCATGCTTGTTGAGCGGCGCTAAAGGTGCAGTTGCGATTGTGAGCGCTGATTGGTCAGGCCCGTGAAGATCTACAGGTTGGCCGGACAGCGAGTTCTGTATAAATATGACAGTGTGACATTGACTTGGCTTGAGCAGAAGTTGAATGTTGTCTGTTAGACTGGCGAAGCTGCGTGTTAGAATGTGGGAGGTTCCCACATCACTCCCCCCCTTGCGAAAATTGATGCTCATGTGTTCAGGCAAGTGGGGAAATGGATCTGGCACCCAGAGCATGTAGTCCTTGTAGGGGGCTGTGTTGGCATGACAGGTGGTCCTATGGTTGGGGTCGCTGTGGCTGGTGGATTGATGCTGTTTTCCATGGTCAGTCGCTTGTAGGATGTAGGCCGGCTTGACCTGTCAGCTGACACGGTGACGTGCCTCCCGCACACGAGGAGTTGCAGCATCTTCTCTCTCTGTGACAGGACCTGGTAGGGGCCACTGTAGGGGGGGCTCCAAAGCCTGGCGTGTTGAGTCCTGCCGAAGGAAGATGTGGGTGCACTTCTCGAAGTCACTGTGCACGAATGTAGCTGGGGAGGCGTGGTGTGCTGCTGGGACTGGTCAGAGGTGGGCCATGTGCTGGCAGAGCTCTGTGATGAGGTGCACTGGATCTGCGGAATTGGTAGCAGGAGTTAGTAGCTCGCCGGGGATTCTTAAGGGCTCAACGTACACGAGCTCAGCTACTGATGCTTGCAGGTCCTCCTTGAATGCAGTGCGGATTCTGAGGAGAACCAGGGGAAGTGCCTCAGTCCACTGTTGATCCATGTGGCACATGATGGCTACCTTCAGTGTCCAGTGGAAGCATTCCACGAGTCCGTTAGCTGCAGAGTGGTGGGCGGTTATATGTGAAAGCTGGATGCCGCACAGCCTGGCCAGGATTGGAAGAGTTGAGATTCGAACCGGCGTCCCTGGTTGGTGGTGATGGTCTGTGGGCAGCCGAAGTGGGATATCCAGCCGGTCAGTATGGCGCGTGCCACTGTGTCGGCTGTGATGTCTGGAATGGGGACGACTTCTGGCCAGCGGGTGAAATGGTTGACTGCAGTGAGGCAGTATGTGTAGCCCATTGACATTGGAGGGGGTCCCACTAGGTCTATATAAACGTGCAGAAAACGCTCTTCCGGTGGTGTAAAGTTGCACAGTGGAGTGACTGTGTGGTGGGAGACTTTGGAGCACTGGCAGGACTGGCAAGCACGTGCCCAGGTGCGGCAACCCTTCTGCACGCCTGGCCATATGAATCGCTGTGCGACCAGCTTCACTGTTGCTCTGGTAACCCAACCACATCTTTTCCCTACTTACTTTGACTCTGAAGATGAAAGAACCATGTTCCTCTTAAATCCTGGTATCCTCTACAAGACTGCACAGTGTCACAAGCTAGAAGACCACAATCTGAACACACTGCCATGAAGACCTGATAACCTATGAAAAGCACCGAACTTACTAATTAATTTTATATATTGTTTCTCTTCTCTGATATAAAAAGCATTAAGAACAAAATTTTTACAGAATTTCATACTTCTAAATGAAAGATATATGTATATATATAACAAATACAAAAGTAATGAAACTTCTGGTAACAAGATGTTCAGTGAGTCTGTATCATAGTGCACATTGCAGACAATCATGCAGAAGGATGAAAGCCCAGGCATATAATAATTTGTTTCTTGAGTGTCGTAAGACTTTAGCTTGCTGTAGAATGACAGTTCAGTGTAGTGAAGGTGTGTGAACAAGTTTATAATTGGGTGATAAAATATAGAAAGTGTTGTGAATAATCTCCATAATATGGACAGAACTGTGTTGCCAGAGAATATCACTGCAGTGAAAGAATGCATGCAGGGAAAGTATCTCCTGATGGTTTGATTGCTGGACTAATGTTAATGCAATTGAGGTCAGCGTCATTTCTGCATGTAGCATTGTTCATGAGAATTGTACTTTCAAAGAGTTCCTGCATTTTTAACACTAGGACTGAAGCAGTAACAGTTGATGTGTACTAAAAGGAGAGACATTTAAGCACATGTGATGAATCTGGTGTACACAGTTTTGTACCATAAGTCAGTGCAGCAGTGGTGTTTACTTCAGCCAACAAAAATCCATACCCAAGCATCCACTCGCTGTGCTATGGGACAGACTAGGAATTACTCTGGAATACTTACTCACTCATGGAGATGAGGCCTTCTTGAGAAGCTGCCAATTGTGCATCTACTCAAGAATTTCCCAGCATTTTATGGAACCCGAAGGTTCATTACCGTGTTCACAAGAGCCCTCCACTGGTTCCTATCCTAAGCCAGATCAATCCAATCCATCCCATCCAATCTTTCTAAGATCAACTTTAATATTGCTCACCAACCTATGCCTTGATCTTCCCAGTGGTCTCCTTCAATTTGGCTTTCCCACCAATATGCTATACGAGGGGGTACCCAAAAGAAACCAAACTTATTTTTTTTTAAACTTATTTATTCAAATTTTAAGCACAAACCTTCAATCCCCTTCAAAGTACTCTCCACTTACACTAATACACTTGTCTAGTCTTTTATTCCATTTTTCAAAACATTGTCTAAATTCATCTTTTGAGATGCTTGAAAGCACCTCCGTCGTTTTTTCCTTCACCTCAGCAACATCAGCAAAACGCTTTCCTTTCATGTCTCTTTTCATTCGAGGAAACAAAAAAAAGTTTTGATCATTTCGGGACTCTTCTTTCAAAGCACAGCATGCTTCCACGTGACCTTGTTTTTGTTCAGCAGTCAGCACTCGTGGCACGAATTTCACAGCCACCCTTTTCATTCCCAAATCTCCTGTCAAAATTCGCTGAACTGAGCTCCAAGTCACTCCTGACAGCTCCACAATTTCTTCAATGGTCTGTCTTTGATCTTCCTTGATGATTTCACGAATTTTTTCAACATTTTCATGTGTGCGGGCCATGGAAGGACGACCAGAACGAGGTTTGTCATCAATTGACATTTCACCATTTTTGAAATGGGAAAACCACTCAAACACTTGAGTTTTCCCCATAGCATCGTCCTTGTATGCCGTTTTTAACATTTCAAGAGTTTCTGTTCCACTTTTCCCGAGCAAAAAGCAGAATTTCACCGCCGCACGCATTGTAAAAACGATGATCACACAAAACAGTTGTCACTATAAACTCTGCCGAAACTAGTCCTTACCTTCTGAAGCAACGGTAGTTGGCTTATCGACTCAGGAATGTTAGCTCTATGCGCTCATAGCAGCAAAACGCGGTACTACAAAAGCTCTGCCCACAAAAAAATTAGTTCGGTTTCTTTTGGGTACCCCATCGTATGTGTTCCTCTTCTCCCAATTTGTGCTACATGCCCTCCCCATCACATCCTCCTTGACTTGATCATTCTAATTATACAAAGAGTACAAGTTATGAAGTTCTTCATTATGCAGTTTTTCCCAACCTCCTGTCAGTTCATCTTTCTTTGGTCCAAATATTCTCCTCAGCACCATGTTCTCAAACACCCTTAGTCTATGTTCCTCCCTTAAGGTCAGAGACCAGGTTTCACCACCATAGAGAATCACAGGCAAAATTATAGTTTTGTGCATTCTAATTTTTATGATTTTAGACAGCAGAGAAGAAGACAAAAGGTTCCGGACTGAATGGTAGCAAGCATTACCCAAGTTCAATCTCTTCTTAATTTCCTCCTGAATCAGGTTCTGATTTGTTATTTTTTTTTTCCTTTGGCGCTACAGCCCTCATTTGGGCCTATTCCTACCTCCATGAAACTCTCCGTTTCACTTCGGTTTACTAGATCTTACACATATGGTAGGACTCCTTGGGCGAGTGATCAGCTCGTCGCAAGGCCTCTACCTGTAGACAAACACAGAAAAACGCACACAAACATCCATGCTCTGAGTGGGATTCGAACCCACGATCTCAGCTTCCGAGCGAGCGAAGACAGTGCATGCCTTAGACCGCTTGGCTACCGTGACCGGCTCTGATTTGTTTTAGTCGTTCCAAAATATCTGAACTGTGCCACATTTTCAAAACATCTGTGACTTATCTTTATGTCGTGATTTTGCCCTGCATTTTGGTGATGAGATAGCAACATGTACTTAGTTTTCTCTGTGTTTACTTCTAGACCAGCCTCCTTACTAGCATCAATTAAAGTTTGTGTGTTTCTCTTTATGGTATCTGTATTATCACCCAGTAGATTCACATCATCAGCATAGACCAACAGTGTCCCATTTAATTTCAGTCCCAGCTGGTTTTCTTTGACCTTCGTAATAGTATATTCTAAAGCAAAGTTGAAAAGCAGTGCTGCTGTTGAATATTATATGGATTTATTAAAAACAGTGGGATTTGTGACCAAATAATACTGTAAACAAGAAGTCCTGGGAAGAACTGATCCCATACTTTCCTTTGATACAACATGGACTGCATAGACAATGATGCCTTTAGCAATTCTTCATTGCTGCAGGAATGCATTTACCAATCCATTGCCTAGCAACGATAAGGGGATACACAGATCCACAGATGCATACAACAGTTGTTCTGTTGTTGCATGTATTTGTTGTTATGGGGACATGTTTACCAAGCTGTTACCTGGTAATGAAAGGAGGGAAGCACTTTACCAAGCTTTTGCCTAGCAGTGAAAGGAGGGATACACAGAGTGATGGGGGGGGGGATTTATGAAGTATGCTGTTGAGATGGGTTTAGGTGATAAACATACCAGGTTTCATAAAAATTGGTTAAGGCATTCAGAAGTTAATGAAGGGGGATTCACAGACACACAGACAGCATGGGGATAACATAAGCCTACTTTCATTTCTTCAAAAGAAGGGAAGTTGATTAAAAAGATATTGGGCACTTTGGACTATGTTTTATGTAAAGTTGGAGCCTTAAGTAAGATGCATACTTTAGGCTGTGTTTGTATTCTTTTAGTATTGGACGGCCAAAGCACATACGTGTGATGGCTGGAGCGTTAGAAGGAGATCTGTTTGTTGGCCCTAAAGCTGAAGAACATCGAGGTTTGCTTAGCATCCGTTACCCAATGGAACATGGTATTGTCACAGACTGGAATGATATGGAAAGGATCTGGCAGTACATATACAGTAAAGACCAGCTGCAGACATTCTCAGAAGAGGTAATTATGTTTATGACTTTGTGTAATGCATTTCTCAAGGTCATAATGTCTTCTGTTTAACGTGGCAGGAAATTTAATCCTGAGACCAACTAGTCTGATCAGGTTGTATCAGCTTGCTGGAATAGGTGAAATTAGCCATGTGTTTCGGTAAGATTTATTTTCGTGATATACTGTCTATATGAAAGGAGCCTGGATATTGTAGTCGGTATAGCAACTGGCTACGGGCTGGACAATTGAGGGGTTGGAGTTTGAGTCCTGGTAGGGTCATGAATTTTCTCCAAATTGTCCAGATGGGCTGTGGGGTTCATCCAACCTCCTTTTCAGTGGGTAGCAGGGGCTCTTCTCCTGGGTGTAAAGCGGCTGGGCCATGAAGCTGACCACTCACCTCCAGGTAGTGCTGAGGTGAAGAAAAATGTGGCTCTATACATCCATTCTCCTATACACCTTCATGGTGTAATGCTTAATTCTTTGAGCACAGGGACAACTTTACCCAGATATCTGTGTGAAATTAAGATGCAAGTTATGATCTAAATATATCTTGTTTATTCCTTATGTTGGATATGTGTTGTTAAAACCTCAACACGTTTCAGTCTTACAAAACCATCACCAGGGGGGGGGGGTGTACCTCTAGTCAGAGAACCACACAACATACTATGAAACAGTGTAACCAGCGCAAGTGCAGTAACTACAATCTGTCTCACTGTATTGTAAATAATAGCAGGTAGGAAATATATACGATGGGGTACCCAAAAGAAACCGAACTAGTTTTTTGTGGGCAGAGCTTTTGTAGTACCGCATTTTGCTGCTATGAGCGCATAGAGCTAACATTCCTGAGTCGATAAGCCAACTACCGTTGCTTCAGAAGGTAAGGACTAGTTTCGGCAGAGTTTATAGTGACAACTGTTTTGTGTGATCGTCATTTTTGCAATGGCTGATTTTCGTAAACAGCGTGCAGCGGTGAAATTCTGCTTTTTGCTCGGGAAAAGTGGAACAGAAACTCGTGAAATGTTAAAAATGGCGTACAAGGACGATGCTATGGGGAAAACTCAAGTGTTTGAGTGGTTTTCCCGTTTCAAAAATGGTGAAATGTCAATTGATGACAAACCTCGTTCTGGTCTTCCTTCCACGGCCCGAACACATGAAAATGTTGAAAAAATTCGTGAAATCATCAAGGAAGATCGACGACGGACCATTGAAGAAATTGTGGAGCTGTCGGGAGTGACTTGGAGCTCAGCAGCCAGATTTGTGGCAGTTGGGTGACTGGTTTTTCCATCATGACAATGCCCCTGCTCACACAGCCCTGTCTGTATGACAATTCTTGACCAAAAATGGTATGACCCCTGTTCCTGACCCTCCATACTCACGTGACCTTGCCCCGTGTGACTTTTTTTGTTTCCTAGAATGAAAAGAGACATGAAAGGAAAAAACGACAGAGGCACTGTCAAGCATCTCAAAAGATGAATTTAGACAATGTTTTGAAAAATGAAATAAAAGACTAGACAAGTGTATTAGTGTAAGTGGACAGTACTTTGAAGGGGATTGAAGGTTTGTGCTTAAAATTTGAATAAATAAGTTTAAAAAAAATAAGTTTGGTTTCTTTTGGGTACTCCCTCATATTCCAGATATACGTAGGTCATACTGAAAGTCATGAGCAACAATTTTTTGTAAAGTAACATGCTTTATTATTTACAAATCAAATACACCACCTCAATCTACAGACCTTTCTTTATTTTTCCACATAATCGCCACTTCTTTGTACACGTTTCTGCCAGTGTTCTGGGAGTTTGAAAGTTCCCCTTCTGTAAAATTCTGCTCCAGCCAACCGAAGACACTGACCCACTGCTTTCTGAATTCAGCGTGCTTATGGAAATGTATGCGTGGGTGCGAACAGTGTTCGAAGATGGGTGAAACATTTTAAAGATGGGAACAGCAGCATCGAAGATGAGCCTCAGAGCGGACGTCCTCGAACAGANGAGCGGTTGTCCTCGAACAGCCTCAGCTGAACGTGACAAGGAAGGAGTGGATGAGATCATTCAAGATGACAGGCGTGTGACTGTGGACACAATAGCCCGAAAACTTGGAATAGGGCACAGTGCAGTACAGGAGATGATTGAAAGCTTGAGATATAGGAAAATTTGTGCTCGTTGGGTCCCGCGGTTATTGACCGAAGATCACAAAGGTCACATTGGAAGCAATTGCAAAGATGGGGTGGGAAATTCTTCCACACCCCTCCTATAGCCCTGATCTGGCACCCTCTGACTATCATCTTTTCGGATTTTTGAAGGATCAGCTGCATGGACAACGTTTTGAGACAAGGGAGGCAATTCAGAAAGCAGTGCATCAGTGGCTTCTAATGGCCGGAGTGGTGATTATGTGGAAAAATAAAGAAAGGTCTGTAGATTGAGGTGGTGTATTTGGTTTGTCAATACTAAAGCATGTTACTTTACAAAAAATTGTTGCTCATGACTTTCAGTATGACCCTCGTATTTAAGTCATTAGTTTTATATACTTGGTTTGTAAAGTTTCCTTATAATGAAATTCCCCCCTCCCCCTTGATATTGGTCTTGTAAGACTGAAACATGACAGGGTTTTAGCAACATGTAGTCAACATAAACAGTAAACAAGCTATAGTTCCATGGCAACGTACATCTTAATTACATAAACTATGTCTCTCCCTTTGTAGTCTTAACTATTGTTTTGTTTGTTTATGCAGCAGGGTTTTCTCAGTTACATACTAAAGCCTACTTCACTGAACAGGAGGAAGAATGTGAATGTTATATTAGGAAAGATGTGGAAGAAAGATTTGTTGCCTGTTTTGAGATACTATCCCAGCATTTTCTGGTAGATACTTGCCCTCTGGATTGAGAATTGTATCCACTGTCTTTGAAGTCTATAGTGGGGGTGAGGAAAGGAAGGGATTGAATGGTAAGAGGGATGTGGGAACTGAAGAAGGAAAGAGGAAAGGCTAAAAAAATTAGATTGATTTGTCTTTGAATGGTCCTAATCAGTTCGAGAGAGGCGACATAAATTTGTCAAGGAATGAAGTAGAACCAATAGCTTGATTAATGAGAGAGAGATATCTGCATGCCCACATACACCCATCCAACTCACTCGAATGGAATTGACCCTTTAAAGATCTCCGTTTCTGTTTCGCCCTTCACTGACCACTCAACAAATCAAACAGAACAGTACCCACTGGCATGTGGATCTGTATTAGAAGTATTGATGGGGGCTATTGGAGAGACAGTTTACTTTGAAGATGGAGACTTTATGGATCTCCAAATCATCAACAGTGCAGCCCTAATGTAAACAGTGTCATCCAATATCAGCATTCTCAGTAACTTTCAACAGCTATGAAAGTTTGAAATCTGTACATGTGGCAAGGTTTGTGTACAATTAAAGAAATATGAGATTAACACTTTGTTGAATGGAAGTAAATCTTATTTTGAGCAAAGTTGTTTTGCTACATACCTCTCTAGATTAAATATTTATATCTTTATGTTGTTTGTAATATGTGACAGTAAACGCTGATTATTTACCATATGCAAAAGTTTAAATTTTTGTGGCAATGACTGTCAAGTGACTGTCTTTTGGGTTTTAGCATCATATAGTCAGGCAGAAGTTCACTGCCTTTTCTGAGGAACGTCCTGCCTGCATATTTAGGGTTGAAGAGTAAGCCAAACAAGCAGGCAGCAAGTTTCAACCCCAAAGATGGAGGCAGTATGTTCCCCTGAAACTTCATTTAACTTTTGCCAGACTGCACAGTGGCACATCCCAGAAGATAGCCTTTCCATTACCATATTTTAGATTTCATATTAATACCGCACGTTACTTTTCCCTTACAGCATCCAGTACTACTAACAGAAGCCCCTCTAAATCCAAGGCGAAACAGAGAAAAAGCAGCAGAGATTTTCTTTGAAACATTCAATGTTCCTGCTCTCTTCGTATCTATGCAAGCTGTTCTTAGTCTGTAAGTAAAATCTTTGGATATCCTCATTGTACCACTTGTACAATTCAGACTAGTTGTGACACGTTTGCTGGCAATCATTTTTTGTCTGGGTTAGAAAGACTTAGAAACATTATTTACACATCAAATTTCAACGGTTACTAGGTCTACCTGGCCTTCTATCTATTTAGGCTCTTTCCCTGGAACTAAAGAGCATGAGCGTGAAACTGAACACATGCTTCCATCTAATAGTTATGTCTAAAAATTGTGGATTGTTTCTTCATTAGTGTAATGACAATGTTTCAGTCGTATAGTGGATATGGTATTATCCGCTGCATATTGGCCAGAATATGAATCATCTCTAATTACTCATTTGTATTAAAGAATCGTTTTTTCTCTTAAATAATGCTTAAGGAGATATTCTNGGCCAGAATATGAATCATCTCTAATTACTCATTTGTATTAAAGAATGCTTAAGGAGATATTCCCAAGGTAGGAGCTTCATGTTAGAGGTTTTGCCTTTCTTTCATCAAATAGTGTCGTGTGATTACCTGTGCAGCAGTATGTTTTTATATTCATTCTATATATTTCTGAGTATGGAATCACAAGAATTGCTCGCCTTTAGAGGTTCCCATAGGTAGGCATCTGCTAGTATGATATCTGGAGGTTGCAGAGGATACTGACTTCAGTTCTAAAAATAAGATGCCAGACTGTATGGGACATGGCATTGTTTTGCTGCATTCTGAAACTCAAGGTTTTGTCATAACATGGTTTCCTAATGTTATCAAGAGAGGGATGAAAACAGGCATTTAGCAGTGCTCCTCATTTATGGTTGAAGTATTCTTATTCTTGGTAAGCATGAACCAGTGGTTCCATGTTTGGAAATGGCACACTGTATTGTAACCATACTGCAGTCTTAATACAGGTTCACCTGGGTTTTGGAAACCCAGAAAATATTCCAAAATGTAACATTTTCCATAGTATAGTTGTTGTAAGATACGAGGTTTTCATGTGAGTGACAATGAAGAATGCGGCCTTCTGGGATGTGATGCCATGTAGATATTGTGTAAACTGACGTTTCAGAGGAACATATCGCCTCCATCTTCAGGGTATAAAAATCCGCAAGCAAGGAACCAGCATGAGTTGGTGGCTGCTCATGCTGGTTCCTCGCTTGCAGATTTTTTAAACCCTGAAGGTGAAGGCAATATGTTTCTCTGAAACGTCAGTTTACACAATATCTACACGGCGTGACATCCTGGAAGACGGCATTCTTCAGTATAGCTTTTATGTAAAAATCATTAGTTTCCCCATCAGCACTTTACCATTGCATTCTTTAGATTATATGCACATGAATTTTGACTCTACATGAGCCATGCTGAACAGACTGTAGGTCTGAAAGTCTAGGTGTTTATTTGGAAGGTTCTCACTTTCAATCTGAGCCAGTATACTGCTATTATGACAAATGTGTTGTGGTTTTGCTCAGTCCCGCCAACCAAATGCCAGGATAGTACCTCAATTAGGGCATGACAATTAGTTCCAAATCCTCTCCAGTTCATTTTTCACAAATTACACAGGCCTACAAAAAAAAATTTTTTTTTGGTGTCTAGGA